GGGGGGGCTGGGATGGTGCTGTAGCACAATACGTCAGCCCCCACCCCTCAGGCCCAACAGCAAGTGCCTTTTACCTTTATATTCCCTTGCTTTTTGATGCTTGTCCTACCCAAACCCATGTGCTGGAAGATGCTGTCTGTTGTGGGGAAGTCACCCTGGTACCAGCCAACTTTGAATGTCTCCAGTACTAGCCATGACCAAAGCTTTGCCCCGAGGCTCCAACATCAGAGCTGCACTCTTTTCTGCTAATGGAAGATGAGTAGTCAGACTCCCTGGTCTATCCCTCTCCAATTAATTCCCCACTAACCTCAGCTACTCATGATCATTAATAGGGAAAGTCTGGGAAGACAGGGTGGGGCCACTGGGTACAAACTGCTCTTTTCTTTTGCATACATAGTATTGAAAAAAGGTGGAACAAGTCTGCGTGGCTCTTTATACAGTCTCTTAAAAAGTGTTTGTATATTTTCACTTTAAAATTTGCAGATCTGTCCCCCCCTCCCACTTAGCTAATGCACTGGACCAGCAGTTCAGTGCTTCTATTTACATGGCTGCATAAAATTTTTCCCTGACTGCATCTTGGAAAAAAAACCCTTAAAAAAAGAATTGAGATAGAGATATATATATATATATATATTTATATATATAATATTTATATAAATAAGTGAAAAGGGCAAGCAGACTGCTTCCTTTGGATTCCCAGTCAGCTAATTTTTGCCTCTTTTTTGGCAATGGCAAGCCAATGTCCCGGCAGAACTTGCAATTGTGCCCTGACCCCATTTAGTCTAAAAAGAACTGTCCAATATTCACTATAGCACCAGCAATCCATTGGGAATCCAAGAGTTAAAGTTGCAGCATAGACTCTCCCTTGCCCACCCCCTAAGCCTCTTGATCTCCCGTTAAATCTATTCCTCAGCCAAGACAGGCTGGGCTCATCCCTCCCCCAGCCCAGCAGCTGCTGAGTTTGCCACCAAGGCCAAGAGGAAAAGCCCCAAGCGTTCTGAAGATTCCCTTGGCAGAGTCCTCTCCTTCCAGCGACGCTGGATCCAGCTGATGTGATGCTTGGGGTGTTGGGCCCAACATGAGCGCATTCCCAGCACTGTGCGCCATCTGAAAAATGCCCAAGGAACGTCCAAAAGGATCTGATGGAGAAGGGCTACATGTGCAAACATCTGTACATCAGTGGGGCGCTGTGGATGTGTTTGGAGCTGACAGCCTCTCTGCCTCGCTAAGAGATCTTGCAGTTGTTGCGTGAGCAGTTCTGTGGGGGGCTTTGTGGTGGACGGATGGATTTGGACCTCTTCAAGCTGTTCCCTTTGCTGCTACTCCCACCCCCGCTGCTGGCCAAGGAATATGACCGCCCGTGCATCATCACTGCATTCATCCCATTGGCCATGGAGAAAGATTTCAGGTGGCTCTTGATGGTGACAGGCAGCGGCAGCTTGTCGATGAGGTGGACTGGCGTGCAGGAGACGATTGCACGGCAGCAGAGGTCCTGCAAGCTGAACACTGCCGGGAGAGAAAGTTTACCATGGTGAAGCAGCAAACATCAAGGGGTGTACCCACAGAGAAGCCCCTCCCTGCAGCTGCTCCCCATCAAGCTCAACTCTTGTTTCTTACAGGTGGGAGAAACTAGTAATAGCCAGAAGAGAGCCTTGGAAAAAGCAGGTCTCATTAAACAAGGACCTCCCAGATCCTAGTCCCAACCCTTAATACTTGATACTCTGCATCCTTCGCAAGCTCATCTAGGGTCCTATGAAGTTTCACTGTCAGTGCCTAACAAGAGGGCCTTTTGCCATCAGGCTGCATATGCCCTCCAGCCAAATGCTCCCCCCACCTCCATTCCAAGAGGCCACAAAGGCCATATTCAGTGTAAAAGTAGGCAACAGGCTTGGAAGGCATAGCCCATTCTCTTTTGGGGCCTGTTTAAATTTGCATCAGTTTAGGGGCAGGTGCTCCTGAACTCTGACCCCACAGAGCCATAGCAAAAGCTTAACCTTCCTGCCCACTATACTGAGCTCCTGCTGCCATGCTGCTGGCTGCAGGGTGAGGGGCTCAGTCTGGGGCAGCTGCTCTCAGCTTGCTTGGTGTGGTGCAGTGGCTCATTACAGTAGGCAGGACAGCTACTTGGTGCATTGCATAATGCCCAGTCCTGTATGGGCCTGGCTGCCAGTTGCCACAGTACCAGAACTACACATTGGCAACAGGAAGCCAAGCAGGGCAGGGTGGTGGAGGAGTCTGCACACTGCGTGGCCTAACCCAGCTGCACCAGAGTGGAGCAGCAAGGGGTGCAGGCCTCCCTCAAGCTTCTGGCAGCAGCTGGCACACCAGACAGTATCAACTGGCATCTCCCTGGTACCCCCCCCACCAAAATTCCTTAAGTGGCCCTCCAGCCCAAATAATTGCCCACCATTGATGTAAGTGCTCACATAACTGCATTGTGAGCACAATAGTTTGTAAGCTACTTCCTTATAGGCGGCCACATGGGGGCACACTCCCATCTTTGGTCTGGGCAAGGATTCAGGCAGTAAAGCCACTAAGCCATTCTGTGCATGGGGCAGAAGACACTGACAGCAGTTGTACGTCCTGCCCGTGGACAGCAGTCAGCAGGGATCTGCAGTGTGCAAATGACTTCAGCTTTAAACATCAGCAGCTGTTCTGTAGGGCAGCAGAACTAGCAGCGTAGCTCTGACCCAAGCCAGGTGTGTGCTGCTGGCTCTCCACCCCAGGAAAAACTTTCCACATAAAACTAGGTATCCCACTGTGTGTAGGGGCACTGCCTTGCACCTCTCGCGTAACCTGGGATTTGAATCTTAAATTACACTAGATTCTACTCTAGAAACCCTCCTCCTGCCCCTTCTTCCAGAAGCTACAAAGTTGTGAATTGGCTTCACTTTAGGCAAAGCAAGCGACTCGGTGCCCTTTGTCCCCAGGAGGCCTGAATTCAGCCTGACCTGTCATGAGAACACATGCAACCCACCACGATAGACCACGTATAACTGCTGGTATTATGCATACCATGTTGATGTGTATTGGACAGGGCATCTCTGGTACTAGCCACACACCCCTCCTCCCCCAAGCACATGCACTCCCACTCAGGGATGGATTACCCAAGGCTGATTCAGGTCTGAACTAGCACTTCAGTGCGACATCAGACTCAGTGTAAGCTCAGCAAGCTACCTCAACTCCATGCATTCAATGGCTACAGCGCATTACAGAATTCACTTTGATTAGTGAATGGCTAGATACCAGGTGCTGAAGCTGGTCTCCAGCTCTGACACTAACCCACTACATGACCTAGGGTGCACTATGTACTGCCTGCCTCCATTTTCCCTACCTGTGAGGCAGGACACCATCTTTCCTGAGGTCACAGTGGTGGGTAGGGAATGAGGCACCTGAGCACAGTAAGAGAGTTTCACAATAACCTTCACAAACATATGCATCTCTTTACCTAGGGCCGATAGCCGAGCAATCCTCCCCTATCACAAAGGAGGTGCCCACTCACCTCTGTTCGGTCTCCATATCTTCTCCATGCCATGCCTCATGAGCACAATGCGCGATAGCTCCGTGAAGGACTCAATGACGTTGAAATTGCACAGCGGACTGACCTCAAAGAACGTCATGCAGTTCTTCTCAGCATAGGCGCGGGCTTGCTCTGTGGGCACCTGCCGCTTGAAGGCAAGGTGCAGCCTGTTCCCAACCAAGATCCGGGGCACACCTGGGGCATGCTGCAAGAGAGCAGGACCTGTTACTATGGGACAGTAAGGACTCATGCCAGTGAATCCAAGAGCCATGACAGGTTTGTGTGCTGCTCTGCTCAGGCATCCACCTGGACAGGAGTGAAATTGCCCCTGCTATGGTCAATCACTGCAAAATGCACAGCATAGCCATGCCAGGCCTTTGTCACAGACCAGCCCCTTCTGTTCTGTTTGACAGAGAACCCCCCTTGTACTCTTGGCCCATTGTTCTCTGCCCGATCATATCGAGCCCCTGCATTGCACAATTCTAGCCAGGCTTGCTGTCCTCATTCAGTCAGTGAACTGCATCTGCTGACAGAGGAGTCTTCCTGCCCCTGCAGTTCTTCTGTAACAGCTCTAGATTATACTGGCAAAGTCAATTTTCCAGCAAGTGCCATTTAAGTGGCTCTTTTACATCCAGGCTGTCACTCAGCGGGCTGTGGCAGAGTCCAAGGAGACCTGGGACTTATGACCAGATTAGCTTCAGATGCCAGTACAGAAATATGTTAGAGGCATATAGCACTGAAAGTGCCCAGAAGCCCCACTGCAACAGTAAAATAAGTTAGCAGATGCACACACACACACACACACACACACACACATGTATATGTATATATCCATCCTAATGCCCCCCTTACCTCATCAATTTCCTTTATCCATCTGTCTATGCCATCGAAGGACCAGCGGTTAGTGATGTCATATACCAAGAGAATTCCCTGTGTAGAAGAGAACATATGACTAGTAAGTTACATACACAAACTGATGCAACTGGAAAAATGTCTGTCCCCTCAGTTTTGCACTGGAGAGACAAATATTTGACATGAGAGGGTGAAGGCAGTTTGTCCAATTTCTCCGAGTTTAAAGTGTGGAAAGAATGAGTCATTAAATATGTGACAGGCTGCACCAAGTCACATCAGATAATTTAGGGGCATCAAACTCACCCTCTGTCCAGGGCTGGATACAAACTATGGGGCTCCTTGCAGGCTGGATCTACAGGCAAGCAGTGGCAGCAGTAGAAGTGGCTGCTTGCTGCATGCAAGAGAGGCAGCACAAACTGCAGGATGAACACTGGTGGGCCAAGCACCCACAGGCTAAGTGGCCACAACCCTCACTCAGCTCCCCCCCCCTCCCCCCAGTGTCTAACAGGGCCCTGGATTGTGTGGCAGGTCCTCTTCCCAAATTCCCTGGCCCACCAGGAGCCCAACAGGCCAGATGGAGCGGTGTTGTGGGCTGGATCTTGTCAGGGGGGAGCATATGTTTGATACCCCTGAGCTAACCAAAAGATTTGAGCCCTTCCAGCTTTGGGAGAGGAGACTGGTTTTGGTCTGCAACTCCTGACTTCCAATGGCACCATCTATTATGACTGACAAAGAATGAGACAGGAAGAACATTGTGAGACTGACACTTGGGTCCAGGTAGCAAATTTGCAGGCCAACAGTTAGAAGAATAATGAGATCCTTGTCCAGTAGGAAGTTTGCTACAGAATCACTGGAACAGAAACGAGGCAATCTACACAGAAGAACTGTCCTTGAAGGCATGCTGGCAACCAAGCTCACAAAGCACAGCACATTCAGTACACTGTGTGCAGATACCCTTTGCCAAGAGCTGTTCCACATTGCTCTATTTTAATTTTGGTAGAAAAAACATTTTGGATTTGAGAAAGTTTGCTGACTTGAAAAGCAGGGGTCCGGACTTAGTCAGATGTGGCCCTGTCCCACTTCCATGTGAGCTTCCAAATGATGAAACAACACTCAGCCGAGCTTTAAAACAGCACCTACTCAGCTACTTTACTCTTTGGCCCCCACACAGTTCTGTAGCTTACTCCTCTACAGTACCATAGCAAGGAAGTTCAGCGCCTGGGGCAAGCCCTGGCGCTGGCAGCCTGCCCTTGCCCTGCACACAGATCCAGGGGGACATGAGGGCTACACGCCCCCCCCCCCATGCTTGCCCAGGAATGGACGCAACAGCAGGAGCCACCCCCCACCCCAAACAAACTGCACACTGCTCTGTTCTGCCCCCTGCCCCAGCTGAGGAGTGCCTGTTAGCACCCCTTTGCTTTGGCACCTGAGGCGGATGCCTCTTCCCCACCAGTTGCTACAGTATTGCTCCTGTTACCTTCAAAACAAAGCACTTTCAAGTACCCCTTTAAGGCCTGACATCCTGAATCCTGTGTTATTTCAGGTGGTTCTGGGATGTGCACAAAAGAAGACTAAGAACCAGGACTGGGATTTTGAGCGAAGGAGGCTTGGTCTACATTAGACTGTTTTGCTGGCATAGCTACATCAGCGAGGAGCATGAGAAGTCATGCTGCTAAGCAATTAGGCTACCTGGAGGGGGAAAGGGGGGGCACGAAATCTTATTGTGGATGCTGTTATATCTGCAAACAAGTTTTCTGGAGGGCAGTTTCCCATTGGGGAGCAATCCTGGCAGAAGAACTCTTGCTGCTAGAAGATAGGCTCCACTAGGGAGATATGGTACAGCTCTACTGGGACATCCTTCTAGGTGTAGGTGGGTGTTGAAGTTTGTGACCTGATCTTCAAACTGTGTGATGCAGTGACTAACTGCAACACTGAGCCCCTGGGCTACTGACATTTTAGTGGAAAGACTAGACTTATTCCTTATTTCTATGTAGGGTGGGGTTAAGGCCACACATGCAGACATGCTTCAGTGCCAGAGGCCACTCCCTATGTTACCCTGAGGTTTTTAGAGGATTGTGCCGCCAGTTATGATCTTTTGCTTGATAATAAGTACAATACATTAGTCCAACAGACCTTGCTTTAGTACAGTCAAAGCTTACAAAGAGCAGGAATAAGAAAAAGAACAGTTGGTTACATACGTTGCAAGTTAATGCAAGAGCAGAGAACGCCCTTTATACAGTGCTGTTGTCTTACTATGGAGCCAGAGGCCGCTGAGTACACTGCCTTCGCTATAGACGGAGATCTCTCTGTGTAAACATTGAGGTTTTATGAACAGGCTGTTCATTTTGGATGGCTAACCACGAAAAGCTTCCTCAATTCTGCAGTTAGATATGGTATGGCAGCCTTTGAGAAGACCTCTGCTTTCCAATGGTAAGAATTTTCAAGCTCTTTGCTAAAATGTAGCTGGCACCTGATTCTGTGAAGCCTATGCCTCATCCCTGAAGTCATGATAAAAAAAATGGGCAACTGAAGAACCTGCCGCTGAGGACAAAAGTACTGTTAGCAAGGTGGCAGTCTTACCAACTTGATTATGATGGGAGGGAACATTATTTCATGGACTGTCCTTTTCATGTTTGTGTATCCTGCTGTGTTTGAAGAGTCAGTGAAGCAGAATATAGGAATTCGCTTTAAAAGGACATCCTGTTTGTGGTTAGGTTGAATAAAGACAGTCTTTGGTAGTGGGAAACAGCAAATGTAGGGGGAAAAAAGCCAGAAGCAAACATACATAATTCAAAAGGTAAAAGCATGAGTCAAAACACATAGGTAAAACTTTAGAGGAAGGCAAAGATCTCCCAGAGGGAAGAATGTGAGGTTAACCACAAGCAGCTCTGCTTTGAAGGCATCCCCAGCCACTCACTGAGAGCTGAGAACTTGCAACCTGAAGGGATGTGCCAGTTCTTTGCCCGAATTGTACTGTTTTTTAATTCTGTATGACAAAGAAGGGTAGAAAGCAAGACCTACGATTTTGGCACATTCTGCCAGATAGCTACCTAGACAATGGCATTCATGGTGCCTGCTCTTTTAGTGCAACTACAGGATGTGTGTCATTTCTCACTCTTGCCTTTCATTAGGCACTAGATGGTTACTGTGTGGCATCTGCCAAGTACATGTAGCCTTTTAAGGGGTGGTTGCAGCATTATGGACTTTGGAGTACAAGAGAAGACCCTAGAAGAGCAGCTCTTAGACAAACTTTTCTTTTCAAGTTAGTTCAATAACTTCCAGATATCTGTTGCAGACACCAGCTAATGTCTTCTGCCAGAGCTTTCTAATGTTCTGCTTGATTTGTTATTGCTTTTCCCTCTCTCACCAAGGGTATTTCAGTGAAAAAAACAGGCACTTAAAAAGAAAAAAAAAAGGCATGTGCTCTTACAGATTGATATAGACTCTACTGTAACTGGGATCTCCAAGAAGAGTTATAATGGAAGGTAATAATCAACTGGAAATAAAAGTAGGAACGGATGAACTTACATTGTCATGAGGCAGCGTTACAGGTAGAAACTCTACCTCACAGGGGAAAAACCCAACAATGATACAAAACACAACAGGTCCTGGGGAGGCTGATACCTCCTTGCTAGGAGAGCACGAGGGATGGCTTTGTGGCTAAGGCTCTGGACTAGGACTCAGGAGACTTAAGTTCAGCTACTGGCTGTCAGACTCAGTGCTTGACCCAAGGCAAATATTTGCTCTCTGTATGCTTTGGCACCCATTTGTAGCGTGACGCTGATGCTGACATACCTGTGAGGATCTCCCCAGCTGATTTCCTGCCCTTAGGGGATCAATGATCTCCCAAGGTCCCTTCCAGCCCTAATGTCAATGAAATCTATGAAGTTACAAGATTCAGCCTAATGGAAATGTCTGCTCTGGCAGCAGACAGGCCTGGTGGAACGTGCCACCTCTAGAAGTGCAGTGTGAGGTCTCTCAAGGACATTCAGCCCTGGGGTTGGAGCACATCCCAGGTGGGATCCTAGCAGTGAATACCTTGCTGACAAAGTTGGGCCTCCCAGGTGGTCACCTCCACCCTCAGTCCAAGAGTCCCGCAGTGACACTAAGTGCACAGTGCACATCAGATACTGACATAAGAAATACTCTCAGTGGAGTTACTGCTGCCTTGGGGTGGGTGTTGTTTACTGTACCATATTGGACATTTAGCTGACCTTGGCCCCCTGTATCTTTCCTATGGTGATGTCAAATACTTCAAACAATGCTAAAAACCCGAAGATGTACCAGGTCTATTGTATAACACTGTACAATAGTCTTGTTGCCTTTCTAGTGCAGGAGCAACAAGCAAAAGCATGAGGCTTGGAGGACAGTAATGCATGCTGGGACATTCTAGCCATGTGGGCATCTACTGTACAGCAATGTCTAGTGGTAACAGGCACAATTCTGTGACCATCTTCTGAAGCAACACCAGTATTCAGCTCCCTGCTGTAGTAGTGGATAGCACAAGATGAATGTTGGCTGAGTGTAGCAACACACATCTCTGTTTTTCATGTGCTGTCCTGTCAACATCTATTATTAGAAGGCAGTTTTTAAAGTCCGGCCAGTTTTCACTAGGTTCACTCTCTCACATGAAACTCCAGTGTATTAAATCCTGTTTTACAGTGTTCAGTAATGCTATTCAATAAAACCATGCCCCCCACAATCTTCATTGCCCTTTTGTTCTGAGCATCTGTCACCTGCACAAGAGCAACAAACAGTCACAACCACACACACCAGTCTGAGGTCATACAAGTGGTTAAGTAATACAGGCTGGTTGCTTTTATCATCCTGAACATGGACAAAAACCATGCTGAAGGGCACTTGATGATTATTTTTATTGTGATAAAGAGCAGGAAAAAAGGATTTCATTCCTGCTTGTGTGTGGGGACTCAGTAAGCAGCGAAGCTTTCACAATAGTTTTGCAGCTTTTTTGCTCTAGTTCATTTATTGGTCCCCCACCAATTCATGCAGTAAAACACGTGAAAGCAAGAACTAAATATTCCCAAAATAAACATGCAGGATTTTTCGACAATTTATAG